CTCGCGCAGGTGATGCTCCACGTGCAACCTGGGCAAGAGGGAAGAGTCAGGTTCTGAAGAAAGCACAGGCTTCACATTTCATCTCCTTCATAACACAGAGCGGAGGACGCGGTGCAGCAGCCCTGGCCCTGGAGGGGTTTTCTCTTCCCCGTGGGCCGGGCAAACCCTTCCCAGCCCGCAAACTTGTGTTCGAACTAGGTCAGTATTATGCAACATCTGCGCACAAGCAACTCCCCTTCCCTTCCCCGGGAGCAGCTCACACGCGGCAGCACGATGGATGCCAGGGCAGCCCAACGCCAGGTGTTGGGGTTTGTTTGCACTTCTTCAGGGCCACCATGCCGCGCCAGCACGGCCTGGCGTGCAGCTTGCTGGGGAGGTGCACCACCTCCGCAGCTCTGTTTCCATGGTGCCTAAGCCTCCCTGCTCCTGCCTTTCACCCGGACACCCAGGCCTGCCGCTCAGCACAGCCAAGCGGGGATGCCGGGGAGGTGTGAAGGACCCCTAGGTGAGAACAGGAAGGAGAATTGCTCAGGATGGCCAAGGCGGCTTATAACGAAGGAGCAACAGGACAGAAAAGATCAAAAGGGAACACCAGGTAGTAAAAACACTCCCTGCGAAGCAAGGTGAAGGCAACTCCAGCCCCACCTTTAAGGTAGCAGAGCTTTCAGCCCTTCTCTGCAGGGCTTACAATGAGCCTGGGCAGAGCCCTGGAGACAAGCATGCGAGACCAAGACTACAGGTGCCCGGTGTGCCGGCACAGAGCAACACTGCGCTATGCCAGGGCTTTCCCAGCTCCAATACCTTTGCTCCTCTGCTGCTCGGCATAACAGCACGAGGCACTGAGTCACCTCTCAGTCCCACGGGGGAATGAGGATTAATTAGTTAATGCTGGCACATTACTTTGAAGAGAGGTGCTCCACTGCAGCATGAGCCACAGGTTGTTACGTACCAAGCTGAGTCAAACGCAGCCCTGGCTTCACATCTGTCATCTCTGGAAGAGCAAGAAAAGGAAACCTAGCAGTGGGGGTGGGAAAATGAATGTTCACACTGGGGCGATGCCAATGCTGCTGTCAAACCTAGGAGAGCGGCCAGCACAGAGGTTCAGGAGAGCTTTGAGCTGGCCAGTGCAGACAGCGATAGCGCCTCAAGGACTGCCGACCCTCTGCAAACACCCAAGGTGTTTCACCAACCCGAGCGCTGCGACGACACAGCCAGCAGGGCAGGAGCAAGGCAGCCGCAGCACAGCACCATCACCCCGTGACTGCGGGGTGGGCACACGGTGGGACCGGAGAGCTCCCATGGGAAGACAGGAAAGGAAAATACACCACGCTGCTAGAAAACAGGGGAAGCCTCCTTAGCATGTTTAATGCCAGCTGGGCTCTTTAGGTCTTTCCAAGTGCTCACCAGTGTGCCTCTGCTTTGCTCCTGCATGTGGACCGCTCTAGAGCGGAGCATGGGTGCTTCAGCTGGCCCTGGGCACAGCTTGTTGTAGTGCGGAGAGGGTGGCAGGATCCGAAGGACAGAGCAACCTCTGTGCACAGGGGCCAGGTTTCCCAAGGGGAGGTGGCTTCTCTCTTTGTTTTTGTCCTCGCCCCACCTCGGTGCTCCTTCCCGTGACGTGCAGAGCCCACGGGGCTCTCGCGCCCGGCCCGCAGCTGCACCTGGGCTGGCGGCGAGGAGGCAGCCTGCGCGTATGTAAAACACGGGCTCTCTTTCACACACCGCTGACTTCCCTCGGCAAAGGAGGCGGCGGGGCGGGGGGACGGGCACGGCGCCTTTCCTAGCTCCTCGCAAAACGCCCCACCACACAGCGAGCTCGAGGAGGACGAGGGATGTCAGCATTGCGGCACGTGTCAGCTCCCACAGAAGGGGCCTGCAGCAAGGGAAACGCGGCCCAGCACGGGCCAGGAGCCCGCACTACTCAGCTGCCAAGGAGCCTGAGCAAGTCACATCACTCCCGAGTCCCCTGCCCAACCTCTCTCGCGCACCAGTTCTTCACAGCCAAGACAGCCCTTCCTGCGCAGAGCCGACCCGAGGGGATGCCATCCTGCCTAGCATCGCCGCGCCGTATTAATATTTAACAGTGAGGAAGAGATCCAGAGACTTTGATTTCTCCCACCGGCCAATTCAAGGATAATTGAACTGCGCGGGGAGTTTCAGCATTTCAGAGGGTGGTTTTGTTCCAGTTCACAACAAAACCCAACCATGCCGCAACACCTTACGAGAAGGATCGCAGCCCAGTTTCAGGCAGCCTCCCTGTCTGCCTGCAGCAGAGTCAGGCAGGTAAGCGGCACAAGACACAGTTGATCTCAGGAGGGGCCCGGCAGGCAGGTCCCACCAAACCCCCCTCCCCCAGAACTTCGGCAAAAATCAAACTCCGCTAATTAGGAAAAAATGGTTTCTTCTGAATGTTTCCACCGAATTCCAGATTTCCGACCCCAAAGCAAATGTCAATTCACCCTCATCACACCCCTCCAGCGGAGGCAGCTCCTGCTGTAGAGGCAGAGCAAGCCAGGCACAGTGAATTTTAACACACGTGCCCAGTGTCATGCAAGAAATCAGTCACAGAGGCAAAACGAGCCCAGCGTTTCTGGCTCCCAGCTCTGGGCTGTGCCAGATATTGCTTTCTCTTGCATATAAATCACTTTTCCCCACCAGTGAAGGACAGCTGGTCACTGAATGGAAAGTGGCAGTTGTTCAGCAGCCCACAGCAACACTGCACACCAGCTCAGGGTGGGAAGTGGAGAACACTCAGCGTGCAGAGGAGACTGCCAGGGGAGCTGGGCCAGCTGAATGGAGACAGAGCAGCTGGAATCTGGCCAGAGCAAAGCCCAGTGCTCCTGCAAAATCAAGACAAGTTAAAAATCCCACAGGAGAGAGCGTCTCTTTTGCTTTTGCCAGCAGAGCAGGTACCTCTGCCACAGCTCTGCAGGTGAGCTCCGAGCAGTAGAGCAGGAGTCCCTTCTTGTTCACCGCTGCTGTGGACAGCGGTCATGATGAGAGCTACCAAGCGGCAATTACAACATGACCACAGCTGCTGGGTGCCACCGCTGACCTAACCCAGCCAGCCCCATCGAACTACGGGCAAGCAGAGACATCCATTTTTAACCGGTTCCCAAAGCAAATATTAGAGGTGGCCTTGAATCTAAACCTCTACCACCAATTTCAAGGTTTGGAGGGACAGACAGATCCCCAGGGCTGGATTTATCGCTGATCTTTGTTCCAGGACAGAGAGATCTTTTACTATAGGTGCCATATCAGCACAAAGACTTTCTCTCCTGTTAGTATAGATCGAGTATATCACGTCTTATCATGCTTAAAAGTTGGTCTGATTTAACTGCTGGTGTGGGAAAGCCAGCAAAAAAAAAAAAAAAAAAAAACCAACAAAAACCCCCAAAAAAACCTTCCCTTGGAAAACCCAGGCTAGCAGAGAGCTATAATCCCAACAGGTAATGCCAGCCAAGCTGATTTGTGCTGAAATCTCTCACAGAGCACCTCTGTGAGCAGCTTGGCTAGCAGGCTGAGGATACAAAATCTCCAAGTGACGGGACTGAAGGCAAAATCCTGTGGGTCAGCTTGCCAGAGCAGGAGACCCTGTTACAGCCTCATTCAGTTCCACCCAAAAAAACCCGCTGCGTGACCAAAGCTTACAGCAGTGCAACTGGTACAAGGTCTTCTATACTAATTAAACCGCTTTTGCACTAATTTTGCTGACATAGTTGACAAACTGAAACAGTCAAACCAGCAATGCTCACGGGTACTTTTGCCACAGAGAGGGGGATTTCTATTTGTACATCTCCACAGGGATAGGGCACTGAGGCAACAGAGAGAGGAAGAGAAAGCAAGTAACTCCAAAATGTTTTTGTTAGTTTAGATTTCAGCCAGCTTGGCAAGCTCTTTCCTGATGTTTAAACACAACAGAACCTGAGTCACTAGCCTTAACTCAGCTTCAGGCCTTCCATGCCTCTGATCCCAATCCAAGTCCTACTTTCACAAGACCTTTATCAAACATTAGCCCTGGCTACTCCATGCAGATGAAAGGCATCCTCAGCTGCCTTGTCTTCTCTGGTAGGGGCAGTGTCACGGCCTGTCTAAACTAATAGCTGACAGTTCCTAGAGGTATTTACATAGTTGAAGCTGTAGCTTTAGATGTGTCCCAACTACTTTCGGTTGTAAAACATGATGGACCTGAGACACAGTGTCATATTCTTAGATACGCTCCACTTCCCCTGCCAGTTCTAGTAAAGACTTTTTCCCTAAGAGTAAGAAAAATATTTGCCCCAAGGTGAAGTGAGATGCTGCTCTTAAGGAACTAGATTTTATTTTGTACCAGCTGAGATTCAGCCACCTGTAGGAAGTACAAACAGCATCTTTCTTCTTTGAAAGTACTAGAAGGAAAGAAATACCGCATCCGAAACATAGCAGTGGAAAAAAACCCTATGTTTGAAGGTGCAGGAATGGACAGTAGCACGTGTCGGTTGCTACAAAGCATTCTGGGTGAACCAAAGAAAGTTTTGTTTTCACCAGTTAAGAAAGCACAGCGAAATTACTCTTGAGGCCAAAGGGATTTTACCCAAGTCCAATAGTTATTAGAGGCAACTGGAGAGCAACCTAGGAGACAGAAGAGTCTCCTTACCTTACAGCAGTTGCGGTGGACACGAAAGAATGGCTCATTTCATGCCGCAGCCCTTCCTTCCCTCCCCCAGACTGCACCTGCACATCAAGAGCAAATCGAAACCAGTCTATTCTAAACCATGGTCTCATTTATTTTGAGGGACCCAAAGCGAGAGCGAGGCTGAGACAGCATAACCAACAGAGAAACTTGTTTCTCAGCATGGTTGCCCCTCTCTGGTGGCAAAGTCCCGGCTAGTACCTTCAGGATCACAAAGCTGGCTGAAAGTAGGGCATGCCCAGTAAGCTCCCAATCCTTCTAACGCGGCCACGAGAGTTTGCACATGTCTTTCTCCTTTGGGTTTTAGCCAGAGTCCAGCCCTTTTGAGCACCATAACACAGCTGAATGTTTTAGCTCCTTTTGTTCCAGCTGACAAACAACCTAGCCCTCCCCCGCCGGCAACAATACAACTGGAGCTAGGATTTGTGTGTCCTCTGAGCAAGGATACAGGCTTTGTGCCTTGCTGAGCTGTCTTTGCAAGGACTGCCAACACTCACAGCTGATTAAGCCTGCAGTGCTGCTTTCTGCTTTTTCCTGCTCACAGACAGATGTCAGAAACAAGCTAAGCGAAACAGCACACGCAGCTAGAGCTCTGCACCTAGGAACATTAAAGCAGACTATTAGGGATTAAATAAATTAAACCAGAGGGGAGCTTAACACATTCTTTCTAGGCTTCATTTCTACCTGGCATGCAATTCTGGGTGAGAAACATCCCAGCGTTTCAAGAAACACTGTATTCTGGAAGGTGGCTCAACTCGGTACACAGAAAGGATTGTGTTTGGAAAGCTTTTGCCACCACCACGTGGCTGAAACCGTGACTGCAGCCCACCGACTAAGTTCAAACAGCCAGCAAGGACCAGCCTCCCTGCCAGGGCAAACTGGGGCAAGTGTTCATAGGTTTTAGAGCCCGTGCCACGTACCTAAACAAAGAGCATACAGCTAATTATTAAATAGTATACATTTTATTAACTTAGAACTCCAGAACACACTACTGACTTGCAGTAAGAACAAGGCATGAATTACTGCTGATAACAGCCTGTTAAGGGATTATACACGGCATACGCCCAACTTGCAAGAGACAACACGTGTTTTCTGTATGTTGCTGTAGTCCAGCCTGCTCTGTTTCATCTCTGGTCAGCCCCGGAGGCTGAGTTGCTAGAGTTATCCTGGGCTTGACAGACTAGGGTTGCTTGTTATCCTGGGCTTGATAGACAGAGCCTTTTTCTTTAAAGACCTAAAAGAAAGCTAAAGTGCTAGATTATCTTCTTTAGTCCCTTCCTCCCCAGTTAGGTATCAGGCATGGAAATACAGAGCCCTTCACTGGGCAGATGCTCACACAGCTGGACCATTAACTGCCAATTGCAGCCTATCTAGAAGCTGCAGGACAGCATTCCGTCCCCATTATTGTCTTGGTGGGGAGACAAAACCTGGCAGCGAGGTTTTACACTAGTCCAAGGTGCTATATTTCAGCTGAAAGGAAGCAGGAGCCTGCTGCCTCTTCTCTAGTGCTGTGGGGACACTGAAACTACGATACTCAACTGTGACATGCGGCGTTTGGGATAGCAGCCTTTCTTCCAATATTCTCTCAGTAAAACACATAGCTCCTGGCCACTGGCAAAGGGGGTGAAACTCAAACTTGATCATGAAATGGGATTCAGATGTAATAATGCATCGGAATCCCCAATTCAAACTGCCCTCCCCCCAGCACCTCCATGTTATCCACTGAACAGGAATCAAACTTTTCTTGAGAGATTAGCAACTAGGAACAGCTCTGGATGAGTGGTCATGACAAGTCAGGCAAAAAAGCTTCCCAATGCGATTCCAACTGCAGCAGCTTGAATGCCTGAAGTGAAAAACCTGATGAATGTGGCTGAATTCTCACAAGGAGAAGCTAGTCATCAGCAGAGTTCCTCATCAGTGAGCCAAAGGACAAAGCAGAAACTCCTGGTACGTGACCAGCACAGATCTGTAACATCCGGAGAAGTCGTTGAGCAGTGGCAACTCTTATCCCTTCCAACTGGAAACAAAATGGAGAAATTATTTAATCAATAGAAACAAAGAAAAGCAATGCTAAGCTGTGCTAAAAGAGAACCGGAGCAGGCATTAAGTATGGTTCAGAGCAGCTAGCTGCAGAAAACCCCAAACAGGCCCATTTACTCCCCTAATGTTAAGGGAGGTACAGCGTTGTCAGCTGAAAACCCTGAAGGGCTTGCCAAAGGCACAGATATTACCTGCTGGTAGGGAAGCAGTCTCTGAGGGTGGAATGATGAGTACACGGAAAAGTGAAGTGTGCTACTGCTGAATACCAAACTCTCCCTCTAGCTTTTCAGACCAAGCAGGTAATTGGAAAAAGTGGCACATCAGATGGCAAAACAGTCTGGCTAACAGGAAGCATTACGTGGGCAAGAGAGTCACATGGCAAATAACAGCTCAGGGGCTCCCAGGAAGAGAAAATGCCTCAAGGAACAAGTGTACCGAGGCTTTGCATATCAGAGAAGTCTTTGTTAATTTAGACTTGGCTTTCTGAGGCTTTGAAGTAGCACAGGAAGAAGCAGATAATCTAGAAGACTCATTTCAAGGACAGTCAGACTCCCGTACCTCTACTGTTCTTATAAAAAAAGAGTCTGGTGTCTGACACTTAGGCAAGACAGTAGCGTATGTACATATATTTCTTGCTAATGTAATGATGTTCCTAAGGATCAGAGAGGAGTGGAATTCACAAATCCCTTCAGACACCAAATAAGCACCTTACCTCCAGCTCACAGAATAGCACAGGACTACAGTAGACTTCTCCCAGTTTCCAGATGGCGTTCATCTCTACACTGCAGTAATTCACCCTGCCGACTACAGAAAAAGTTTTCCCACATTACAAGCCCCATAATCAACATTCAGTGAAGAAAAGTACCATGAAATTCCACATCAACGAAATGATCTAGAGCTAATTTTGAGAGCACCATGGAAGGTAAGGCAACAAAGAGCAGTACAAACAGAAAGGTACAACGGAATTAGCACAGAAGTCGTTCATAATACTGACAGCAGGAA